CTACCGAAGGAGCTGATGGTGCCAAGGTGCAACTTGAACCAGGTTCTGGGGCTGGAGCTGGCTGCTGCAAACACTGCTGGATAAAGCTCTGAGCATTGGGCATCAGCTGCCGTAAGGCAAGCATGCTTTTCTGGAAGAAAAATGAAAAAAAATGGACATAACATCAGTCTTCCACAATACGAATCCGTCAGCAGCTGAATCCTCTTCCTTGTCTCCCAATTTAATTTTCCCTAAGACAAATGGCTTGTTCCAAACAAGTTTGGCTACAATTCAAGCACCCTTAAATGGATGACAATATTGCTCAATGAAGACCAGAAGAATCACCAGTAGAGGCTGAGCAAAGGTCAACAGTCCCCACAGCCTGGCCACACGTACCAAACCCCCTTTATAGGGAAACTTTCTGTGTGTGGATCTTCCAATTTGGAATTTGTTTTTCAGCATAGGACCATTTTAACTGCCTAGTATCTCAAAAAAAAACCCAAAATCTGTTTTGAAAAACAAAAATCACCCCTGTTCTGTTGTAACAGCTGTTGTTTTTCCACAGAGCCTGACAGAAAACTACAAATTATCCAATAAAGTCAGGAAGAAGCTCTGAAGATCAGAGCCCTTCCACACCACTACAGCTGTACCTACACTAGGGGGGGATACCACTTCAGTAATGCCTCTGCAGCTGCAGCAGCACAACTGTAGCCAGGCAGCTCTCTCTGCAACAGGAGAATTTTAGTGAAGGTACCTGGCAACATTTCATTTTTACCACAGCTCTGCTTGAGAAGGTTAATGGACAGGATAATCTTCAAGCCCTCTACAGATTTTTCTCCTCGACTATGTACAATCTGTTACGACTCAATCGAGGGGAAAAAGTTCTGCAGCAAGTTGTATATCCTCACAGGCTTTTTTTTTTTCCATCCCCTTGACAGTTTTTGAAGTCTGTAAGTCTACAGCATAGTGCTGTTGCTCTGGGCTTCAGGAAAAAAGAAAAAAAAAGACCACAAAGTCAGCTAACTAACAACGAAAATGCCTGAACAATGTTTCTGAAGTCACAATATTTCTTTGTTAATATAACATGCAAGAGGGAGAGCACTTTGTGGAGCTTTATGGGGTTATTTTGTTAAAGCCATATGATTAAAAGAGTTAAGGGTGTAGTTTTTAATTTATGTGATTATTTGCTTGAATGGAGGTAGAGTTGGCCTGGGTTACTTCTCCTAAGCTGCAGTAGTATTGTCACACCCCCACTGAAGAAAGGGGTGGGTTTTTTTTCTGCCTCCAGTTAAACACAAACCAGACAAGATGAATAGCTTTACATAGATTCCTTGAGTTTATATACTGCATAAGGTGTGTAGAGCCACTGTTGTCAGTCTTCTGCATCAGAACAGCTCCAGTTCTGATGAGAAAGCAACAGGTCATCTTAGATACAGCTGCTCTACTGTAGATACCCCAGCTTCCAAAACATTGCTCTCCACAAATGACTAGAGGGTCATAACTCTCCAACTGAAGAGCACAGTGTAAATTATTTCTCTGCAATGCTTCCTCCCCCCTAAAAAACCCACCATCTTTCCAAAAGCAACAGTCACACTGGGCTAAGTTAAGCACCATTTCCTCAACTGACCTGAGCAAATACCTGTTTGAACGCTCTGACTCTTTGCTCTCCTTTTCTGGTCCTCCCCCCTCCTCTCATTAAATACTATAAACTCACCACCAGACACTTACCTTGAGAAAAGGAACTAAATATGGTTGTGGAGATGACTTCAGCTCTACATATAGCTTTTTTGTAAACTCTTCTGGTTCAATTTTTGCTTCCTAAGAGCAAAGCACAATTAAAATGGTAAGTTGTAACAAAGTTGTACCATATTTTTTCCAAGCTGTATCAAAAATTCATGGAAATTTACATTATCATGGATTTTCCTCCTGTATTATTAAATAAAATGTTTTATGAAAGCACGTTGTAATTTAGATATAATATTACCAAATTATTTTGACTACAGGCAGTTAACACACTTAAGGATACTTGTTCAAACAACCATTCCCTGAATTGTACTGACAGAAACAAGTTTATAAGTAGCATCCATCCTTTTGAGTACCATATTGTCATGCAAAGATACTTAAAATCCACTACAAGTGCTTTATTCTGTGGTTTATCTGCATAAAGATCCATCCAAAGAGACTCCAGACCAAGAGACAAAAGACAACTGGGCAGGTTTTGTAAGACAATCCCAATCTAATGCATACATCACATAATAAAGCACAACACTTACCATCCCCTTTCAGAAGCAGGAGAAACTGAACACCAAACATTACTCCTGCATACCACCAGGGACCAGTCCTCCCAGTCTCCTTTCTTAATACCCTCCACTCTGCCCCTACACAAACACCTGCCTCAAGAGCTTGGGAAGGTGAAGAACCTGCAGCAGACTTCTGAGACCCTTCGACTCACTCCTTCCAGTGCCACTCCTCCAGGGCTAAGGTGATGGGTAGCCCCAGGCACTGCTGCCCTTTCTCACCCTCCCAGAGTCATCAAGAACATTACCCTCCTCCAAAAAGGCACAAAGTAGGAAGAGTGATCCCAGCCCCAATCTGTCTCTGCAGAGAAATTACTCCTCCTACCCATGTGTTCCTTCAGAACAATGGTTCTGAGGACCTCCATGACCAGAGCAGGGGTTTTGAGGACTGTATATTCACAGGCAAACAGAACTTAGAGCAGTCAATTGATGTGCTGCCTGTTAGGTCTCACCTCAGGGACTTGGTGCACTGCATCTACATCTCACTGTGTGCAAGGCACTTGACACCCACTTCATGAGATGCTGCCTGGACCATTTTACATCACAGATGCTGTTTGTTTCCTTCAAGGATACAAAACATTCATTTCTTCCCCATTTCAATGGCAGAAGAACAGCATTTTTAAAACACTACAAAAAGCACACAAGCAGACAGCCCATGATGTATTCATGTCTGGTAACAACTGGGTTTTATGAAGAAATAAAAGCCAATAAAAGCCCTGCTGTAAGTCCCCTTAGGAACAACTTTAGTATTTTCCTACAGAAGCAAAGTGTGTAGTCCAGCAGAGAGACAGGGGCAGAGGAATCAAATTTTTGCAAGGCTGCATCTTCAATCTGCTCTGAAATCATACCTCTGTCCACCCCAGGCTTTTCTAGACTCAAAAAGCCCCTTTGGTCCCACTAGCAAAGCCAACCCCCTCCATCAGCCCACAGCCTTCTGCTACAGTGGAGAAACAGAACAGCAGCAGCGGTCAAATGCCAAGACAAGAAGTGGCAGGAGGAATTGTTATCAAGAAAACCCAGCTGTGCTGGGCTACAGCACCAAGCAGCAGACAGAAGCCACCTGCAAGGAGTGAGAGAGTTTGGCAGCCACCACTTTATTTGCTGCATTCCCCTGCCTAAAGAGGTAGAAGACGTCAATGCTCGTTCCACTGGAGCTTCACTGTCAACCTGTTAGTTCTGTCTTGGAGTAAAGCAGTAGTGTGGGCTTTGCACTGCACTACAACCTCCAGGGTAATACTTTTGCCATTGAGGACTCAAAATTACACCAACATCAAAAAAAAAAAACCCAGCAGTTCAGACCCAGAAGCTGTGTGAACACTTTCAGCTGCTCCTGCTGTCTGTTACCTGTTTGTGTAAAATTAAACAGGAATTAGGGGGAATACAGCACAGAATCCAATTACAATAAGAGTTATAATGTAAGAATTAAATAGGGTCAGATGTATTCAGCCACAAACCCATCTCTCCAGCTGTTTGAAAAAAAAAAAGACAAGGAACAAAACTATGATGAAGACAATGTCCAAAGTGGGATACGAATGATGCACTTGGTTTAAAAAAAAGCCTCACCAAGAGATTTTGTACCAGGTTCTTCACGTTCTGCCCCATCTCAGTGGCTTGAGGTCCACCAGATGCCAGTTTTATTAGTGTAGCAAGAAAATTCTTGCATTTCTTCACATTCTCCAGCATCTCCTAGCATGGAAATAAAGGGAAGACTGTTACACGTGGCATCGGCTCTCCAACCTCTGATGAATATAGGGAATGTTAATTTTTAATTAAAATCTTCTTTTTTTTTTTTTCCCCTTACTGTAGAAAGGCTGGTCTGTGCTACTGCTGTGCCCTCTGCTTTCACAGAGACTGCCTTTGGGGAGATAGCTTGTGCAGGTGGTCCTGTAGCTGGAAGTTTTACAGGTGTTCCAGTACTCAAAGGCTTTACAGCAGTAACTGTAGTCACACTGGCTGCTGCAGCTGCTGGCTGAAAAGAAAAATTAACACTTTTTAACCTAAGACCAACGTGACAAACATACTGTATTGTGCTAGCAGGTAAAGGAGCACCCTCCTTCCACACTACTGCTGAAAACAAAGCAACTGTTTCTATATTGGCTTTTAAAGGCTGGATTCGTTTGCTTTAAGAGGCTCTATGCAATAATGTGACAGAACCTCCCCCAGCCCTAATTCTGTTTTTTAAATCAAGGGTGGGGGAAAGAAGAAATCAGAAAGGCTCATCCAGATTGAAGCACTGTCTGCAACTTCAAGGGAAGAGAGAGAGGTAAAGTTGTCTTGAAGAAATCAATATCTTAACTTTGTGAGGTTCCTCCTGTCCAAGACTAATGAATTTTGGATGCTGTTAAGCCAGGTGACACCACTCTGAAGATAAAGATGACCTTAAGTGATTATTTATCTTCCTTTTTTTCCACTCAGCTCCTCCTTTTTAAAATCTCAGTAGAATTTAGCAACAGATTCAGAAGGTCCAGCAACGGGAAAATAATGAACGTTTAGGAAAAAATCAGGACACAATTCCCTCTCTCCCTTGCAACCAGGCTGAATAGTAGTTTTGGGAGAAAAATCTACTGAACTTCAGCATTTCTACTTCATATTTTAAAGGAGAAAAAAAAAAACATAAAACAACATACCCCTAAAAAACCTACAATTCTTCTGATAGAACAATATAGTATGAGTAAGACTTTGCCTCTACAAAAAAATACTACTTTTGCTTTCTCAATTTGAAAACTAAAAAGCCAGATTGAACCTGCAGGTTACAGAGCAGCAAGAGTTCCACGTTAGCATCTAAAACCTTGAATTTTGGTATAGTTTTTCCCCTAAACTTCTCAAAAGAAAAGGAAAGCCTGGTTTCGTAGGCCAAATTCTAGGTTTGGATCTGCACAACACAATTGCTTTCATTTCTTCTTACCACATTTCAACAGCAGTTTAGTCCAACAGTCACAAATTAATACTTGTTAACTGCATTAACAACAAGACAGTAACACAAGAGCCTGACTTAACCTACCCTGGATAAACCAAAAACTAATCAGAGCTGGACAAACCTCAGGCAGAATATCAAAGGGCTTTTCAGTCTTTTAGGATAGGGAAAATTAATGAACATATATTTAAAGCTAAAAGCAAAACACTGGCACTTTTGTCACTTATTTATAAATAGGGTTTTTTTCCTCCTGGATGGGTTCCCCCCTTCCCCAAGCTGCTGCCAGTTTGATAGGAAAAAAAAAGCAGGCAGCTACCAGAAAGCTTTCAGCTTAGGCTCCCACTGTTGGTAACACTTTAGTAGCTCTCTGCAGGATCTTTGCCACCACCACTGCCTCTTCCAACGATGAGGCTCAACAGCTCTAAGACCACAGGGAGGCAAGCTGGGCACCAGAATCCCACAAACAGATGGACGGGAGGGAGATGGAAGGGGACAAGAGCACAGATCTGTCAAGCTGCAATGCCCTGGGCTTTAAAAAGTTGAAAACATGAGGTTCACAGGAGCTCATCTCTTGCAAATTCCAGCATGTTTACACATCAAGACCAGAACAGCATTTTATCAGCTGAGGGAGAGAACAACAGGAAGGCTGCTGGATTCTTTTCCCAGGAAGATGAATATATGGGAATTAACTTCTGTCATCTGCCCTCAACCTTTTTTTTGCTACTGACAATTCTCATTCTCACTTCGAACAACAGAGAAGCAGTCGCCAAAAAAATGGCATTAATCCTGCATATTTTGAAGTAATTTCAAGAGAAGTAGTGCTCTGCATCTAAATGAAAGTGCCTCAGCATGATGCTAATTAGATACTTTGCAACTTGGTGACCCCATCTGGGAAGAAGGTAAAAATGAAAAAAAAAAAAGTGCAGGTATTTTGTCTGACCTCAGAGTTTAAACATTCAGGGTTGTTAAAAAATGGCAATATTTTTGTAGATGAGGAGAATAATCTTGGAGACAGTAACTAGAGAGAGTTTTGCAGATAGTAGTGTTCCAAGTTGTACTTTGCACAGGGTAGGAGATACAGAGTGAAGCTTATTTCCCCTCTGCTGTCACATTCTGTGGTGAGGTGACAGCACACGTCCAACATCAACACTTCTCTCCTGTGACCTCAAAAAAAAACTATCAAATTCCTCAAGGACTGATGAAAGAATCACCACAAAGGAAATCAGACCCAAGGGCTCTTCCTTCCTTTCCCCCCCAGACAACACTTTCTGCAACCTTGTGCTCAGACTCCCTAGTCTAAGATGGGTGTGAGGATGCAGGCAGCTTCATCCCTCAGATGGAAGAAATCTTTACCTTCATGTCTTCTCTCCCATGATAGAATGGTAGATGACTATTGCTTTTATATTCTAAACATCTCTGTGCAGAGATCACAAGCTTGTATTCCAAAAGAAAAGTGGGTAAGGAATATCAGTTACTGTTCTTACACACAAAGTGTATGTTCTTTCCATCCTAAGCAGAATAGAATATATATTAAGAGTGGCCTCTGGCTTTTTCCCTTTAGCCCCACCTGTAGTGAGGGAGGAAGAGGAAAAAAAGAACACAGAGTTGTGAGTGGTTTTCAGTTGCTGATACAGAAGAACAGCAGGAGGACAAATTTGTAAGTGAGACTGTTAGTTACCACTGTCAGCAAACAAATCCTGCAGTGCTTCAAACACCCTCAAGGTCATGAGCATACTTTCTGCATGGTTATTTGAATGACTGGGGTTTTTTTTGAAGGAATGGGCTTATCCAGAACTCTGGTCACCAAGAAAAGAGGAAGAACTGTATCTATAAGTCTCCTACTCTACAGGTAGTAAGAGAAATAACATCTAAGAAATAAGACAAAACCCACTACCTAAAAATAATGAAACATTCCCAACCACTGTGTACAGTTGTACCTGTGAAACCTGTCTACCAAACTCAAGTAGAGAACAGAAGTCTTCAGCTATGACCTTCCTTGAGCTTTTCAATGAAAGGAAAAAAAATGCAGACCTGAAAAACAGCTTGACTAGTGCAGACAGCTCACCTTCCACCTCAACAACATCCCAGAAATAGGTTTGGGTGGGTTTGTTTGTGAGGAATTAGGGAACACAAACAGGAGAGAGCATTAGGAAGCTTCCACCTCCCCACAAAGTGTCAGCTACAGCTTGAAGGAGCTGTCACAGGGTACAAAAACACTGGAAATGGCTCTTCTGAACTATTTATTTTATCCACTACTCCTGCACTTTCTGCTGTGGTGGGAGAAGATGAGCTGACACAGTGGCAGAAGCACAACTAAATCATTAAAAGAGACGTTCAGGAAGGAATTTATCATAAGGACAAAAGTTACCAGCTCAGTGAAAATCCCATCAGAGGCAGAAATAACAGGAATGCATCTGCATTGTCTTCAGGTCTTATTCCATCACCCTGTAAAGCTTACCTGTATTACAGCAGGAGGCTGAACAGCAGCAGCCACAGCATTTGTTGTTTGGAATAGTTTCACAGGAGTAGCTGTTACTTTCTTTAGTAACTGGGGGCCAGGTTTCTTAAAAAAAACACACACACATGTGCAGAGAACAGTTGGCAGACAAGCCAATGACAAAACAGACCCTGAAGTACCTGCTCCTGTCTGATATAAACCCAGACATCCTGCAGCAACAACATTCACATCACCCATACAGTTTAAACAATGTTTAACAGAATTATCTGTCTACCAGTTTCATAGCTGGTACAAGAGGTTCAGAGACATTCAGATTCAATGCCTCATTGGAATAAAATGGTTAAATGGCAAGAAATTTGCAGGTGGTTACTTTTTTTGTACCTGCTTACTCTTAGATGCTGACAATGTTACAAGAGATGGAAGTAAAAAGCCAGCAAAGCTCAGGGAAGGAGGAACACCCTGAGGACAAAGGAAACATCCTCAGCTTCAGTATCCCACCAGAGGATCAAAAGGTTGAAATTAATTACACTAACCTAAATTTAAGTAGGTTTTTGAGCTTTGGGTTGTGTAGTTTGATAGGGTTTTTATCTTAAAACCCTTTAAATAACCAGAGAGGAATTCCTTGATTGGATCTACACCATATATAATGTCTAGCAGTTTTTTCAAACTGAGAAGGCCAAGCACAGTGATGTTCATGTCCAAAACCAAACACCATCACACTCTTCAAAAAGCATTTAAAGGCTCCTTTAACACTTCATAACTTATTTACAAACCCCATGATAACCACATAACATGCTGCTAAGATCAAAGCTATGAGAGAAGTTACCTGGACAGCACATACTCTGATGGTAGGTGTGCTGCTTGGGGCAGCTGCTCTCACATTTGGGTTGTTTGGTGGCTGGTTCTGAGCTCGTGCTATTGCTGGTTGAGATACTAGCATTAGTTGGCCACTACTGCTTCTGATAAGAACAGTTCCTGTTGGAGAAAAATGAGGAGACTGTTAGAAATGAAATGATTTTATGTCTTTCCTATGGTTCTGTGGAAGAAATAACTAGCCCACACTGATAATATCATATTTAGTTTCTCACTCCAAGGAACAGCTGCCAAGAAATGTAAGAGCTAAGCATACATCAGCTTTAACTCTGCATTTTATGACAGAAGAAAAAACTTCTAAAGTCAAGAGGAAAACTTAACTAGACAGCCACATCAAAACACTATGTGCACACAAGATGTAATTGTAAAGCAGCTCATCAGTTGAATAAAAAAAAAAACATTTTAGACATTAAAAAGACAGACACATCACACACACAGTCTGGGGCTACTTCAAGAGTAACTTCTTAAAGCAGTTTTCTTCAGCCTGCAAAATTCATCACCAGTGTTACCCTTGGCTGCCTCTATACAGCTTTATTTTCTGAACATTTAGAGCCATACTTACAGGTGAAGATATAGTTTAGAGAAAACCTGCAATGGGAACTGAGGCCTGATTAATACCAGGTCCATCTAACTCTATATCAAGACTAAATCTGATCTGACCTTGGTCAGAGGGCAGTGGTCTCCAGTGAAGAGACCACTTGGGTCTCCAAGGCCACTAAAACATTTGAAACTGTCCCTCTGCCAAGGTTCTGTCCAAAAACATTGAAATGAATGCTTTTAATCAAAGCAGCTTAGAGCCAAAGAGGGAAATTCCAATGGGAAACTAAAAAAAGACTCTTCTGCCTTGTTTCCTTCCTTTTTTATGTTTCCCTTTCAAACCCACAGCAGTGTCAGCCCACCAAGATTTAATGCCCAACACCTTTTTCCTACCCCATCAGCTAAAACCACAAACAATAAGTGTTTTTATTACAGCTATCAAATTAAAATCACCCTAAGGAGAATCAGTTAGATGCCATGACACAGTCCCACCTTCCCTGCATTTGGAAACCACTCAATTACCAACATCTCCATTGCAGCCTCCCAGCCCCCTAAGGGCTAAAGCTCTGGAAAATCCAGAACTTTCATCAGGGTCCCAAAGTGCCAGCTGGATCCCTGGTCTGAAGGGCTTCAGATCCTTCAAGGGAGCTCCAGAGCACCCTACCTTTTCTGGTGCCTCACCTCCTTTACCTTCAAATGCAGCTGCTGCAGAGTCCACCACCAAAACCCCCACCCTCAAACGTCTCACTGAAAGGTCTTTTGGCATAAAAGAAAGGAGGAAGGTACAGGAGAATGCCAGACAGGTAAATAAAAGCACCTCAACATTTTTGGAGGACTGCATTGAACTGTCTTGTGAGTCATCCAACATCTGAAGTGTCCCAGATGTTCTAAACACTTGAGCTTTTCTAGTGTAAAAGACTTGCCTCAATGAAACAGACTTTTTCTACCTGGTGAGCCTGGAAGCTGTTGAAGTATTGCTGCACAAATACAGCCTAAAAAGCTGCTGCTCTCAGAGTTTAAATGAAGACAAGAAAAGCCACAAGCTCCATGAGCTGAGTTGTGTTCTTAGTTCATCCTTCATATCTAAAAGCACAAGGCAACACAAAAGTTGGTATAAAATTCTGTAATATCAAAATATTGCCCTTTACATAGCAGACAAAACTGAGGCTCCAAGAAGAGCATGTAGATTGATTCTCTTTCTCCAACAGCCATTACTAGGTGGGGAAGATGCCCAAAACAGTTCCACACCCAGAAAAATACTGGTAATCCATCTGACAGCTTTCTCCTCCTCCACTGAAGTCTTGCCTATAATTATATTTAGGTTCAGATGGATCTTTTAATTTAATCAATGAATACCCAGAATCATAGAAATCCTAACAGATTCCTAATTTTCTTTTCATGCCATCTTATTTGGACAGTGATTCATGATTCATTTCACATCAGTCTGAAAAAGGGCATTTTTTTTTCCTTGTTCACATCACATGCCCATGGAGATTTTAGGGGAGGAGGGAAAGCTGACAACAACATTTTGACAGCAACAGCATCTTTCTCTGCTCTAGGTCTACATTCAGGATGGCACAAGTGTTGCTGCTGGAGGTTTTAGGCTTTTCTAAGTTTGCTTAAAAACACCACTGCTGGCTCTGCTCTTTGAGAGGGCACACATAAATTTATCATCTAATTCCTTTAGAGATTTGGAATGCATTAAGTGTTTTGGTTTCATCCCTTTGGATATTTTGTCACTACTCATTAGGTTTGTTTTCCAAGCCAAACTGTCAGAAGCACAATTTCTACTTCTCTGAATCATACTGCATACCAGAAACAGCATCATTACCAGTCAATCTGATTATAGAGTTGGGTTTTTTTCTTGTGTTTCTTGTTTTACTACTGTTGTGAAGTTTCAGTTATCATTTACCAGACCCTGCCTGAAGAGCATCCCATCCTCCAGTTACCTGAATGGGGAGAGTTTCCAGCAGGCTCTAACTTGATGGAAATTAAATCAAGAGCAACCTAGCCAGCAAGCTTCTGCAAATAAAATACACTTCACATGCAAATTCATCAACATCTCCAAAAAAAAGTAAACAAAAAAAACACCACCACAAATATTAACAAGTCCCAGTAGCCTCTTTACATTTGACCACGACCACATTGATCCCCAACAGCACTGTACCCTGAAATATAAAATCAATTTTCTTCCTTTGATGCTCCCTTACTGCCTTGAAAAAAAAAGACAACAACCCAACACTGAAGTCAATAGTGCAGACTCCAAGAGGAGGCACAGGAGTTGTCTTCTGACAGAAGAAAAGGTTTAATGTCACTCAAAACCAATGCCTGAAGTCCTCATGCATCACAGCCAGCCACCCAAGTGTGAAATGAGGCATGGCAGGTAATGGCAACCTTGAGATTCTCAATAGAAAAGTCACATAAACAGCTACCAAGATGCTGTGATGAAAAATGAAGTGCAAGGATCCATATTCTTCACTTGGAGGAGAGAAAAAAAAATACCATTTCTTATCAAGAGTTGTTTTCACATTCACTAGAAGTTAAAAACATGAAAAGAAATCAGATCTTGCAGGCATTGCAACTCCACAGAAAAATGGGGGGGAGGGAACCTCTGGACAGCTGAAATGGTGAAGTTTTAGTTCACACCACTCAGCACAGCATTCAAAACCAGAAAAGATATCTGCAATCTCTGACCAAAAAAAAGTCATCACCAACTGTAGTTACTGGACAGCAATTAGGCATCTTTGAAACTCCAAAAAAGATGCTTCAAACTCTTCTGAGCACCAATTCCAAGAAAGAGGCACAGAGTTGGATAGTTTTACTGAAGTTGTCTCAGAGAACAGGACAGACTTGCTCATCACTCATGCACTTTGATACTAAGAGTGAGGCACAATCCTTTTGGGGCTGATGAGGCTGTTCAGGTTTTCTGTCTGAGGTCTGGAAAGATCAGTCACCAGCAGGGATTAGTTCTTACACACTTCACTGAAGGACTCAGGGGTGTCTCATAGATGAACAGCCCTTTCACAATGAGTTGAGACTTCTATCTCTAGATATTCTGTCTGTCCTGCCAAAAAAAACCCTTTGGAAAGTTATTTTTCTTGATTGCCCAAGAAGGCAGTTAAACTAAAATCAGCCATTTCACAGCCCTTGGTTCCCTGCACACCTTCATTCACCTGCACTACTGTGGGATGGCTGGAAGGGAAGGAACAACCAACCAAAACCCAGCTCAGCTTCCTCCAAAACTCCACAGAAAGAGCCAAGCTACAGCTTCTCACCTTGGGAATACCTTCTCTACCCTTTCTTCCCAGTGACCTGCCTTCTGCTGGTCCAGGAGCTCCAGGAAAAGGTCTCCAGAAAGATCAGCTGGCATCACTCCTGCAAAGTCTAGGCTGCCACCACCCAGGACAGCCTCTACCTAGGCACACCAGCAAACCACAGGCCATTTGCTGCTCAAACCTGACATACAGCCACTGTAAATAAAGGTCACACTTTAAGTAAAGTCCACTTTAACACCAGTAACCAATGCAGGGCTACATGAGACTTTCACATCCCAACTCAGTAAGTGAAGAGTTCAACAACACAAGGGTTTTAAAACAGCAGTTGTGGTTCAGTGCTCTCTGTTCCTAAACAAACCTCTTTCTTCCATTGAGCTACTCAAAACAGAGATGGTTTTAAGGGTGGTTACAAGGTAAAACTTTAAAGAAGTTTTAGGAGAAAACTAAAGAGCAACTAGAAAGGAATATTAGTTTTAAGTTCTTAGCTTGACTATTTGGGATTACTTGAAATTCATAGAATTGCAGGATTGTTTTGGTTGGAAAAGGCCTTTAAAATCATTGAATTCAACCATGAAGTCAGCACTGCCAGGTCATCACTAAACCACATCCTGAAGCACCTCATCTACCTGTCTTTTAAATCCCTCCAGGGATGGGGACCCCACCACTTCCCTGGGCAGCCTGCTCCTCACAACCCTTTCAGCAAAGATTTTTTTACTAATATTCAACCTAAACCTCCTCTGGTGCAACTTGAGGCCCTTTCCTCTTGTCCTATCACTTGTTACATGGGAGAAGAATTCAGATTTGCAAATAGTTTTTCTTTCTAAAGGCATCCTTTAAAAAATTTGCCTTTTTCTTCTTCTTCAACCCCATCTATTGAGCCCCACAGAACAGGTCACTTAAAAGCTTCAAAAACAAATGAAAGGACTGGATCAGACAGACCCAGAAGGGCCATTATTAGAGACAGACTGTTTAGGCAGTGACCCTATCAAGGTGTGTTGACTGTACTGTATGCAGGAGAATTATTTATTTCCCAAGACCCTCATTGGTACTTGAGTTTTTCTAGCTGTCTACTGTAGATTTCTGTATCAAAGATGAAGGAATAAAGACACAGACCAGCCTGCAGGCCACATCTAGCTGGGATTCTCACTGTCTTGGGAACAAAGCTATGGTGAACACCTGGAGGCCACCCATAGTTACCTCACCACCAGCTCCCAGTGATGAACTCCAACTTCCATTCACAAATGAAACCAGACTTTCCACGAGTGACTTTTGGGAAGTCCCAAAGCTTGC